TGGTAGCCCAGGCTGGCCTCGAACTCACAGAGATCCACCTGGCTCTGCCTCCCGAGTGCTGGGATTAAAGGCGTGCGCCACCACCGCCCGGCCCCACAGCAACTCTTATAAAGGAAAACATTTAACTGGGGCTGCCTTATAGTTCGGAGGTTTGGTCCATTCTTGTCACAGCAGGAAGCATGGCAGCGTGCAGGCAGACATGGTGCTGGAGAGGAGCTGAGAGTTCTACATCTGGATCCCTATGCAGCAGGAAGGAAGAGTGAGCCACTGGACCTAAGCGGAGCTTCTGAAACCTCGAAGCCCACCCCACACTGATATACTTCTTCTCCCAACAAGGCCACACCTAATCCAACAAGGCCATACCTCCTAGTAGTGCCACTCCTTATGCGCCTATGTGGGCCTTTGTCATTCCAACTACCACAGACCCCACCCATGGACAATGAACTGCATGCAACCAAGGCATGTGAAGAGAAGAGGAACTGGTCTTTTTTTTCAGTGTGAATGTATATCATGTGTTGCCGGTGCCCCTGGAGGCTGGAAGAGAATCTGGCTCCCCTGGAGCTGTGTGGGTGCTAGGAACCAAACTCAGGTTCTCTGGAAGATAAGTAAGAACTCTTAAAACAGCTGGGTCATTTCCCCAGATCCTTTACTCCAGGTCCTGTTCCTGGAAAACCCAGGCTTCGGCACCGATAGCCCTGTGTGACTCCCAGCTCCCTATCTCGGGAAAGTGGTGTTAGCCAAGGGGAAATCCCCAAATGATCCCTGATAATCCTTTCCTTCAGCACCTGCAAACATAAATGACCAAGCCTTAAATCTTCCTCCGCAGTCTTCTCTGAGCCTGTCTCCATCCATCCCTAGCAGCTCTTGCCTGGAAGAGATAAGGCTCAACCGGCAACCTCTGCCTGCATTTGTTTGCAGCCCTCAAATCATCTCCCCCAATATTATGGAAATAATCAAGAAGAAAATACCCGCTCTGGAGCACAGGGATGGGGCCAGACCCAACCCAACCCCTCACCCGAACCCGAGCCAGACAAACCCGTCTGCCTGGCCCATGTTCAGCCATCCCACGTCAAATCACAAACTGCGGTTCTCAAACGGCCCTTGCTGCCTTACTACTTATCTCTGGTTTGGAGGGGAAACGACACAGCACGGGGGTTAATATGTGCAAACAATCTCTGTGGTTAACAAAGGATATCCAGTGTTTTCATTTTCCAGCCAATGCTTTCATCCCTCAAATAAAAGTTTAGAGGTAGAATGTTCAAAATTTAAAAAAGGACAGGTGTGATCTGTGTGTTGTAAACCAGATGAATTGAATGGGAGGTCTCAGTTTCCTTTTATTCTCTTACTGTGCATGCTGCCCTAGGAACATGGACAATCTGAACCACGTGACTTAGCACCACCTCCTAATCATATTTATAGGCACTTCCTTGGCTAGAATTAAGCTCCTGACATGACTTAGGTCATATCGTCACATCTCTAAAAATCCAGTTCAAAGCCTGCTGATAAAACATTCATGATGGACATGTGTTGGGCGTCTTCATCAGTGGGGACACAATAACCAAAGAAATGGTATATCCAAATTCAGAAATGATTCTACCAAAGTGCCCTAAGACCAGCGGCACTCAAAAATTGTGTTTCGATGCTTTAAAACCAAGGCATTTAACTTTCTCAACAGAAATGTAAACAGGAGGTTTGCCTTTCTTAAGTTTAGTTTCTTAGTTTCCATGGAGCAGAGCACACTTACCGAGTCCATTTAAAATTGTAAAATTCCAAGCTGAAGCATGTCAAGGGCTTACCAGGCAAAGGGCACCGCAGGAGGGAAGTCCTGACTGATCTTAGCAAACAATGGCCTGCTTGGTAGGGTTCTCATTTTTTTTTTTTCATGAGTGTAAACATACTTTAACTAGGAAAATTCAGTTGTAATACACAATACTAATTCTGTCAATATAGTCTACTCACAACCAACAATCGCAATCCTGTAATATTTAAAATATTTAAAGCAAGACAAACAAGCAATACTAAATGAGAAATTACAGCAATAATCGTGAGCCAACCCTCTCTCCATTTCTACGGTCTTTAGGCAAGCAGATTAAAATTGGAGTGTATCCTTATATCCTAATACAATTTAAAAACACTTTCTGTATTTAGTCATCTGCTAATGTAGCTAATATAACATAAACCTCAAATATCGTGTATTAAAAATTGAATTACAAAAGTAAGCTACGCCAGACTTTTTCGATGCACCAAGTTTACCCAGAAGGAGTTCCGCATTTCACCAGAGGAGGCTGAACGCTGTTAACTCTAACACACCAACGAACGTGGATGTCATCAGCTTCACGTTAAACATCTGTGTTACATTTCCATAGCAGGATGCCGAACACGTACATTATAAACCACCATAAATCAAAACTGCAAAAGGCCAAAACCACTCACAGCTCCTTTGCAGTACAGCCGTAACTTCCCGGACGGAGTCCGCACCACCACCGACATTCTCTTCCTAGCGCTGAAATAAAGAGGTTTTCTGTAATGGGGCATCACACTGCAGATCCGCACAGACACATTTTTGTTGTGCTTCACATAGTTTAACGCTCATAGTGACATAATTAATCTGACCGAATTACAAGCCATATTCTTTTTGCAATACAAATTATCTCCTGAGTGTACAGCTGGGCGGCTCGGAGAGTTACATTATATTTTTGAACTCGCCAGAGTACCATCCACTGTCCTAAAGGAATAAACAAACCAGTTCCCCAGACACCTGTAAGGGTTAATACCCACCAGAGTAGCATCATGTTTAATATGTTAATACTGGAAAACGATTTGAGCTAGTATCCTATTATATGCTACATTTAAAAATTAAAAACAAAAATGATAATTTTAAATATACAATCACAGATAAAGGCAAATGCTAGCACTTTCAGAAGCAATATAAGCATTTGTTATTGTTTAAAAGATTGCAGCAGGCCCCTTACTGAGAAGGGCATAGTCCAAGACCCCCAGCAGATGCCAAAGACTGGGGATAGTGTCAACCCAATAATGCATTTTTCCTGTACACACACACACACACACACACACACACACACACACACACACACGCACACACACACATCCTATGACAATGTTTAATTTGTTAGAGTAAGCAATTAACAACAGCCACTAAAAGAATAATTATAACAATATACCTTACTAAAAGGTATTTGAAACTTAGGAATTGTTTGCTTCTAGAATTTTCCATCAGATACTTTTAGAGTATGGTTGATTATGGGGAAGAGAAGCCTCAGCCAAGGTGGAAATAGTGTACTTTACGAATACAGTAAACTGGTCTTGCCTACACACATTAATTCAGCCCTTCTTCCCCCTCCTCCCCTCGATACAGGGTTTCTCTGTGTAGCTTTGGTGCCTTTCCTGGAACTCACTCTGTAGCCCAGGCTGGCCTCGAACTCACAGAGATCCGCCTGGCTCTGCCTCCCGAGTGCTGGGATTAAATTTTTTTATAACCAACTGGTTCAATTTGTGCTGCCTATATATTTATGGGTACGGAGCCATTCACTGGAATGTGGTCAACCCATCAGGGGCAACACCCTTAAAGAAAAC